AAAATAACAAACCAGACGTGTATAGAGCTTAACTTTTGGACGGTAGTTGTATAGAAAAAAGATTAAAAATTAAAAGCAAATATTAAATGTATCTATAGTACACTAATTTTAATTTTTCCTATTAAAAGTTAATTAACCAATAAAAATCTGATATAATAAATATATTTGTACGATACTTAGTGGAAAGAAAAAGAAATTTGATTTTTTAATTGTCCTATGTAATTTCAAGATAGTTTAGAGCTATTTTCAAAGAAAGCATTTTTGACTGCTAATTGACAACGGGGGAATACCTTGCGTAAGCAGTTGCCTATGTAATTTTCTTATAATTTAAAATGATGCAGTGGCTATATAGCCACCAACGGCTCTATTTTTATCATTGATGTATATTTAATGGTAGGAAAAGACAGCACTCATGAAGTGCATTTTTTTTTGTTTGACAGTCAACATATGACTTATCTTTTTAGCAACATTATAGTATAGGAAGATTACTTCATGATGAAGGTTTAGGTTATCCGGATTTATTACTTATTTAATCAGAGAACTCATGTATGACGTCATGAACAAAACAAAACGTGTTAAAATGCTACAAATCTGTCGATCCTCGCTCCTTTATCAAAAGCCGTTAACAGCTCTTTAGAAACAGCTTCAAAATAAAATAAATGAATATATACAACACTTTTAACTAAGGATGGCATCTTGGGTGTAGAAACTACATTTTTAATTAAATTTGTGGAATTTCAAGTGTTTATTGTTTTTTTACAGGTGAAACTATTTTGCAAACATTCATCTGAAATTAGCGTTATCCGTGGTAGTTGTATAGCGGACGAGTACGAAAAGAATTCTATAAATTTAGCGTTGCACCTAGACGATCCCGAAAACCTTATTTACTACTACATAATTTTGAAAGGATTGGAGCGTTTTGTAAGTGAATATAACGTATATCCAGGACAATTTGCGGAACAAGTTGAACCGGACGTATCGAAATTGAAGACGATAATTTTCAAACTTTTGAGTCAATGGGGTAATACTGCAGCTCCCGTAAGTGACGACAGAGTTCACGAGATGTGCCGTTGCGGAGGCGCGGAACTTCACAGTGTGTCCGCCATCTTGGCTGGTTGTGCAGCTCATGAGGTTATTAAAGTCATAACACATCAATACAAAGTGATAAACAACACCTTCGTATACGACGCTATAACTTCAACGTCGGCCACTTTTAGTTTATGAGTAAGATTAAAGACATAAAATAAGTAAAATGTATGGTAATTTTCCATTTACTGTGTATTAGCAAGCTTTATTATCAAATAAATTGTTAACTGATCTTTTACTCGTAATATGTTGCTTTTATTTTTAATAATAAGTATAAATAAAGTATTTCGGTACTTAATTTCGCATAACCCCAAAAACTTAAAATAATAAAAAATTAGTTTTTTTCTTCGAGAGCTCATCTACTATTTCAGGTAGTTGTAGGTACCTTAGTGGGACCAGTAGTTGCCTTTTTTTACAATTTTGATTCGATACGTCACAGTCTTGTCTGCGTTTCTAGAGAGTGGTCAATTCCATGAGGGTATTACTCACTTAATCCTCTATATCTATGGTAATAACTATAACTACGAGCGAAATTTGGTCATAATACTTAATCAATTAATTATTTTTTTTCTTGCTATATTTTATTGCACTCCACGCATTTTTAAATTGATTGAATTTTATCCTCAATAGAGACTGACGACTATACTTGCGACACTGTTATTTTGACACATTCCCCGGTAAGCAACCTTTCTAACCTTGTTAAATTAAACAACAGCNCTTTTTTCAGAAAAACTTTTTTTTATATTTAAAATTTTTAAAAAGGGGACAAAGAGACATTCCGTGAATGATATTAATATTGGATCGAATTGTCTTCCGGGGTCAATGTCTTAGACCATGGAATTTTTAAGTTTGATATCAGCACCTTTAGCAAGAAATTACGAAATTCTATAAATTTTGGCAAAACAGATAGTAAAACAATATCGAATTGATATACGTCAGATATATACAACTGGAAGCTACAATATATTGTGGTGTGCTAATAAATGCCTATAATCCAAAATTCTCAGAAAAGGATTAGAAAAACTTATTAGATGAACCAATGCTCAAAAAACAATGCATTCCATTTCTTTCTCTTATTACAATGTGTAAAAGATCGGAAACAAAATGGGTTTGTAAATATTTGACAAAACATGATTAATGATTTTGCATCAATAAAATTGTTTGCAACCCTATTTTGATCTGATCTTTCTCGCTAAGCAAACTATTTTGTCATCAGTGTCTTTTTTCCAATTAAGACGGGTGACAAAGACAAATGAGGATTTATAAAGTAGAATTATATATTGCTGAACTGAAGAAACTATAACATAAAGTAGACTCAACCATTTCAAACAGAAAAATATGAATCATACTCAATCTTCGCAGCTGGTGATATACTCCAATATTTAAAAAATGAGAAAATGACTGCATGGTTTTCTTAAAAAATATTTTATGCTTAAGTAAATGTAGAAAATTAAATAGATACCTGCTACAAAAATGTATTTATTTAAAAAAAGTACATATTTTGAAAACACGTATTTTGTATTTAGCATTTAAAATACAAAAAGGAAACTAATTTTGAATTTTACGTTTGAAATGACAAATAAACAAGGTATTTGCATTTTGTATTTAAATACTTAAAAAAAAAACATTTTGCACATCTATATCACATACATCTACGTATCTATACATATATTCAACAATTGATCGTCGTGTACTTATAAACCGTCAAAATTCGCAGTTTCTTTATACCTACCCGCTATTTTTACCGAGTTATATAATTTTATTAAATGGCCGATATTTTTTTTACTAATACTTATGCAGTATACATAAAGTTACATGCTATATATATGCATAACAAAAACTTGGGTGCTTATATTAATTAAATAATAGCTTGTTTTTGCCCCACTTATTACTTGGTACGTTAAGCTAATTGATCTTTTATTTTGCTTCTAGACTTACTTACAATACGTTTGTTATGTGCTTAAAACCCAATAAAAACATGCAACTAACAGAATTATTGTTTTTTTTTTCGTATTGAAAATTAGCATTTAAACAGTGGCACAGGTTTGTGCTTTTACTATTTCAGAATTGTAATTACTTTGTAGTTTATTTTAAAGTAACGTTAAATTTCTAAGGAATTTCACGGTCACCAAGTAACATTTACTTACACTCTAACTTTTGCCTTTCTTATTTTGCAACCAATTTTCGAACAATATTAGAAAACTCCAACCGGCATTTCTATTAATAACATACCTATTCTCTCTTTATAAACATTTCATCAGTAAATGTGAAAAATGTTGAGTTAGCTTAGTGAAAACGGAATAATTTCTGTTTTATTATCAGACTGAGAGTTAATAAACACATTCGACTGTTGTGTATGAATTTTATAATTGCACCTTTACAATAGCATGTAGTAAGTCTCGGTTAAATTAAATCTAATTTACGAAAAGTACTTCTTTCGTTAAATTGTCGTTAATTCCTTATCAGTAACCAAGTTTTCCAGTAACATCCAACATATCTCTCATAATTCTATAATTATTTCATAATGTGTCGTATGGACAACTTTCACCTACCAATCCTTACTGCACACCAAAGGTTACTTATAGGTATATTACGAAAGTGTTGTTTGATGTTCCTTTTAATTTAAACTCTACAAATGATACACTAGCCATCAAAATTAACACACCAGTAGAAAAGTGAAATAAATTCAAAGTTAATATTATCACAAATCACTAATCCGATTTTTAGGATCTTTTTCTGATTTCGTCGCATCGTAAAAGGGTGTGATTGAAATTACTACTTTAATTTTGGTTTTGGTCATGTATAGTGTGCGAATGAAAACAATTTTTTTATCTGAAATTTGTAACTGTTAAAACTACCAAGATCTGTCGACATCATGCTGTAGCCCATCTTTTCCGAATGTTTCACTGTTATATCTATTAATACAGCAGTTATAGACATTAGTGAAGGATATGGTGCATATAATATTGAAAATAAAATTTAAGCAAGAACACAAACGTGTCTATGCAAAATAAAAAATTCAAGTATAACTTCTTGCAATGATGTATGATATCTAAATAAGTGTACCTCATCTAAGAAGATTTAATTTATAACAAAAATTGTATGTAAGGTTGTCTAAATAAGCAACATCATGTAAGAAGACACAAATTATTCTAAAAATTTCTTTGTATTGTTGAGATCTGAATTGCGAGATAGATAATTTAGTGTTTTAAGTCCGCTGATCTTCCGTTTCGCAATTTTCAAATTTCTACCTGTTTCAGTGCTGATTCACCATTCATTATTTTATTTTTTAAACACACACACCAGAAATGTGATTTATTTGAAGTACATGCATTTAAAATGCAAATAGAAAATTAAAATTTAAAATAAATNGAATCGGAATTTTAAATTAATTTTAAACCTTTCACTCGTTGAGTGAATAGTTTTAAGATTGAAACGAAATTAATAATATTAAGCTGAAAAATAAAAATTAATAAAGTGCATGCAAAATAATATTCTTTATAAACCTTCAGTTAACGTTTTTTTTTGTTTTGAAGGCATGTAATCGAAAAAGAATTTTCTACAGTTAGAATTTTACAGACTTCTATTCAAGTTAAAACAATTTTTAATATTCTGTTGAAGTTCGGTTTTGGCTTTTAAATTCTGCTGTTAAAATATCTAGAGTAAAAAGAAATAAAAAATTTTACTTTGAATGAATTTTTGATTTAACATTTTCCTGTCTGTAATAAGTGTTCTATTCAGATATGCACTAAATTTCTCTTTTCGAAATATGTTTTTGGTATTGAACTGTTGCTTCTAAAATTCTTCGTAGTTTTTTCGTTAAAAAAGTAACTTTCTATTTGTTTTTTCTTCTGCAAGATCGTCGTTCTTGCGGAATTTCAGGGTCGACAGAGCTATTTCGTTGCGCATAAATATAAGTATACGTAGGAAAAAACCAATACACCGCTTTCAATGCTTCATTTGAAAAATAAACGAAAAAGGCTCTATACTGCTCATGGCAGTTTATAAAGGCTAATGCCTCGGCGAATTGGACAAACAACTTGGACGTTAAACTGTAAAGTAGCAACTTGAAATACTGTTATTACTGATTGTGAGTCAAAGCTTGTGGTTGTTTACACGATTGGGCCATAATTCCGAAAAAGTTGTACAATAAAATATGGGGTGCGCCTTATGAAATAGTTACTAAGTTGAGCAGAAAACTATCAGGGCTGTACTCCGAAATGTAAAATTGATGTCAAAAGTAGGTACAAATACAGACCACCTCGAATTATTTTATTCGATTATGGTACCGTGCCTATCACGTTAAAGTTGGTTACGCCGGGATTCGTTTTCAGCAAGTAGATATCCATACAAGTGGACCTTGTTGGAGCATACTGTCACGCAGTGAAATTTTAATGAAATTCAAAAAACCATTTATTATTTTTAATTATTTTTCGTAGAAATTGTATTTATATCTAAAGCCACACCAGAACATGTTTTATTTGATATTTTTAAAAACACCCTTCAATACAGTGAAATCGCCTTAAAATTAATGAAAGAAAAAATGAGAGGACAAGCAATTTCCACGTTATTACAATAGAAGTAGCGCAACTTACAAACAATAAAATTAATCATATTGTCTTTCAGACACTAATTTAGCCGTTGAAGCATTAAATAAAATAATAAACCTACTGTAATATATTTGCAAAGTCTACACTGAAATGAGGTCGTTTAAAATTTTGGTGTGTACAATTCTTGTGTACAGATTATTTATTGCCACAAGAAATCCATTACTGAATAATATTTTATTTATACTTACACAAAACAAACATTACTTATCTGCTACTTATTCCCCATCTTTCTTGTCCTTTTCTTGCTGGCTTTCAAATTTTTTCTCATCTATTTGAGCTCCTTGAATACTCTCACAATGCTGATGTCCACTGCCGGAACCAATGTCCTCTGCAATATTTCTTTCATTGTCTGTACCTGGTGGTGGCCCATACAAGGGCAGAGGATGCACCTCGCTAATAGTTGAGGCTGGTGGATGTTGTCCATCCATCGGAGCTGAATGCGAATATGGATGTGGTCGCCCCATGTGAGGTGGATACTGTGGGTAGGGCTGATAGTATGGATGAGGAGAATATTGAGGATAACCTTGATGATATCCCTGTTGTTGAGAATAACTGTAGGTATGATGTGGTGGTCTTGGTGGCAACGGAACGGACTGCGGATTATTACTAGGATATTGCTGATATGGCATTATAGT